CGCGTCGCAGCGGAGGGCGTGGCTCTCAAGCACCCAAGCCCCTTCTCCAACCCCCGACTCGTTTTCTCTCCCCAGACGCTGCGTTCACGGAGCTGAGGAAGAGAGGCCTGGCAGCGGCGCAGAAGAAGCGCGCACGCGTTGGCAGCAGAGGGGCTGGTGGGCGTGGCGGTGCGGAGAGGGGTGGAGCGGCGGTGGAGGTAACAGTGAGACGGACTTTGTGGCCAGGAACGACCTCTTTCAGTGCTGGTGAGCTGGGCCGTAGGCTGCTCCAGTGAGCTTGTCACTGCGGTGAGAGCAGTGAGTGTAGCCGTGAGGCGTGGGCGCAGTGGCGTGGAGGTGAATAGTGAGACGGACTTTGTGGCCAGGAACGACCTCTTTCAGCTGCTGTGGTGAGCTGGGCCGTAGGCTGCTCCAGTGAGCTTGTCACTGCGGTGAGAGCAGTGAGTGTAGCCGTGAGGCGGGCGCAGTGGCGGTGGAGGTGAATAGTGGAGACGGACTTTGTGGCCAGGAACGACCTCTTTCAGCTGCTGGTGAGCTGGGCCGTAGGCTGCTCCAGTGAGCTTGTCACTGCGGTGAGAGCAGTGAGTGTAGCCGTGAGGCGTGGGCGCAGTGGCGGTGGAGGTGAATAGTGAGACGGACTTTGTGGCCAGGAACGACCTCTTTCAGCTGCTGGTAGCTGGGCCGTAGGCTGCTCCAGTGAGCTTGTCACTGCGGTGAGAGCAGTGAGTGTAGCCGTGAGGCGTGGGCGAGTGGCGGTGGAGGTGAATAGTTGAGACGGACTTTGTGGCCAGGATCGACGTCTTTCAACTGCTGGTAATCTGTGAATCGTAAAACCCTGAGCCCTGGCTCGTGGACTTTTGGCTGATGACTGCTGTGGAGGTGGAGATGAACAGTGAGACGGGCTTTGTGGCCAGGAAGGAACGACCTCTGTAAGTCGACCTTAAACCCGCAACCCTCCTGCTTGGCACTTTCACGATGGAATTTGGGGGCCAAAGTGACTTTGGACGACGAGTGCAGTGACCAGATGGTGTGGCCTTGCGAGTGAGTGAGTGAGTGAGTGAGTGAGTGAGTGAGTGAGCGAGTGAACATACCATTCCCAGTTGCGGGTGAGTGATCAAGCGGCGGCGCCATTCAAGCTGGTGAGTTGGGGATTGCGACGGTTGGGAATTTCAGTGAGTCTGTCAAATGTTGGAGGGGATGGGCTGCTCGTGAGGAGATGGGTGGGTGCTGTGGTGATGGGGGTGAACAGTAAATGTGACGTGTCAGATGCTGGCGAATTTGGCATTGTTTCACACATCGAGAGGTGTGGGGGGGCAATATTTCCCTCTTACTCAAATTCTTCCGCCTCCCCGGGATCTCCCTCCCACCTCTCTCCCAGCTGTCGTCCACCCCTCTCAGATTGCTTTCCCTCCTCCCTCCCTCTTCGCCCCAATATCCCTCCCGCTCTCCCCCTCCTCCCTCCCACCTCCCCCCTCACCGCCCTCCCACTTCCTCCCATTTCCCTCCCACGTCCCCCACCCCCTCCGGCTTTTCCCCACCTCTCACTCTCCCTCCTTGCAGGTTTCCAAGGCAGCAGCAGCTGCGCTGAGCCTTCCCCCGTCTTCCTCCTCGTCCGTGCTCCCACAACCTCTTCCTCTGGCGGAGCTTGAAGTGAGCCGTGACCTGATCATTGCTCATGTGCTTCTACCACTCCCTCCTCCTCACTCCCTCCCCCTCTCTACCGCATTTTGTCTCCCTCCTCCTCACTCCCTCCACTCTCCCTCCGCCTCTCTCCTCCTCTCTCCCTCTGCCTCTTCCCATGGCGGATCTTGAGGCGAGTGTGACAGTGGCTTGCGTGATATTTCCGAAAGCAGCAACAGTACATCCCGTAAGAAGCATTATCTTTTTGGCGGTCCGTCTCGACGTTCCCTCACCTGCTCTGCCCTCCCTCCCGTCGTACTTCCAAAATCCGTCCCTCCTCACCGTTTTCCCTAACGCTCCTATCCCTCAACGCTCACAACAAGCTACAGTGCCTCTTCGGCTCCACCCCCCTATCTTTTCCTCGCTTTTACCCTTCCTTTTTCTCCCAACCCCATCTCCGTAGACAGATGGTAACTCCGCGCACCTGCACATGCGCCACCCATGCTCACCCACAGCTTTAGGCAGCAGACGCCTCTCAGAGACTGTGGCAGAGGTAGCTGCTGTCATAGCCATGCCTTGTCCCCCCCCACCCCCAACCACCGCCCCCACCAGCAAGCCACCGTGTCTTTCGACCATCCAAAGCTGTGTGGCAGCCGGCAACTATCGGAGGCAGTAGCAGAGGTGGCAGCTCTAACTGGGGAGAACGTGAAACTGCGTCGAGCCTTCCTGCTGCCCGAGCCTCGGCCCTCAGGCTCGGTGTCCATGTACCTGCACAGCAGCCCCGGCGCTGGGTTGGGCCGGATAGCTGGTCTGGTGTCCCTGTCTGCTTCCCGAGCAGCAGAGAAAGGTGCAGCAGCGCCAGTGGAAGTAGCAGCAGAGGATGCAGCAGCAGCAGCAGCAGGGGGGGTGGGGGATGGAGTGGCGATGCACTTGGTGGCGATGAGGCCGCTGTACTTGAGGCGAGAGGACGTGCCGGGAGGGGTGGTGGAGAGGGAGAGCGACGTGCTGCGAGCACAGGTGCGTGAGTCAATGCGAGTAGACGGGTTATTTTGTGCAAGTCAACAAGTGAGTAAGCATACGATTCAACACAGGTCAACGAGGGAGTCAAGAGTTGAAGCTTCTCGACTTTCTGTGGCATGGGTCTGGCTCACACCAGCAACTTGTGCTGCTCTCATCCCCTGAGCCCCCCTCCCTTCATCTCTCACTTCTTCCCTCCGCTCTCCTCTTCCTCCACTCAGGCTGTAGCAGCGGGCAAGCTAGGCAGCATGGTTCTGAGGCGGCTGAACGAGTCTCCTGTGATGCTTCGGACTGCCCTCTTTCTCCCTCTCTTTTTTCGCCTCTCCTCTCTCTCCTCTCTCTCCTCTCTTCTTCATTCCCTTACCCCAGGCCATGGCAGCGGGCAAGCCAGCCAGCGTAGTGGATAGAATGGACCTGGATGGCTTAATGCTTGTTTGCGCCAGGCTTCGCCGTTTCCTTTTTTACGCTCTTTCCTTTTTAAGGCTCTTTCCTTTCTAACTCTCTTTCCTCCCCCATCGAGGCCATGGCAGCGGGCAAGCTGGCCAACGCGGTTGAAAAGATGGGGATGGGGCAGATTTGACTCGATTCACATCCCCTCCCCTCGCTGTTCCATGCCTCTGCTGTGGCGCCTCTGTCGCTCCGCTCCTCTCCAGGCCACAGCAGCAGGCAAGCCGGCCAACGTGGTGGAGAAGATGGTGGCAGGGCGGCTGAACAAGTACTATGGGGAGGTGGTGCTGGTGGAACAGGCCTATGCCATGGACGACAAGAAGACAGTGGAGGTGGGTGTTGGATTCTAGCAAGCAAGGAGTGTGCGTATGGGTGTGCTGCTACCAGCGAGTGCTAGGGGAGGTGGTGCTTATGGAACAGCCGTATGCCATGGACGACCAGAAGTCAGTGGAGGTGGGTGTTGGAATAGAGCAGAAGGAAATGCAAGTGCGGGTTTGAGGAAGTACTATCGGGAGGCCATGCTGGTGGAGCAGGCATATGCCATGGAAGATGAGGTGACAGTGGGCGTCAGCTTTTCTTTTGCTTTGCGGAATGTAGGAACAGACTTGTGAGTTTGCGAGCGCACATTCCATTTTTTTTCCCCTCGCTGCCACGCTCCCACAGGCTCCATCTCCACCCTCCTGCTCCCTGCTCTTGTCCTTTGGATTCTGTTGTGATTTTTCACTGTGCATGCTCTCTTCTGCATGCTCTCTTATGCGTTTTTCGCTGTGCATGCTCTCTTCTGCATGCTCCATTCTATGCTGCACAGAAAGTGTTGGCAGAAGCTTCCAAGAAGGCGGGGGCGACCATCAGAGTGGAGCAGTTCCTCCGGGTGGAGGTTGGAGAGGGCATTGAGAGGTACGACCGGTTCTTACCCTTGTAATTGAGTAATATAGCTGGTTCTTACCCTCGTTATTGAGTAGTATTACTGGTTCTAACCCATTGTTGAAACTTGAAAGGGTTTATTATTTTTATTCCGAAACATTAGCAGCATTAACAATCTGGATGAACTGTACTGTAGGGCGCGTGAATCATTGAATAAGTCCTTGCACCACACCAGTACACCATTTTCTGTACCAATCTCAGGGCAATGCATGCCGCTACAAACTGTCTGGTGCATGTGATTCTCTGCGATTCCCCGGTGTTTGCAACGGTGGCACATGGCAGGGAGGCCAAGGACTTCGCATCAGAGGTGGCATCGCAGGTGGCCTCCTCCTCGTGACCACGACACTGCAAAGTGGGCAGAAAAAGGAAGCCATTTCCCTCGTGAGTCGTGCGTTGTGGCCGCAAGACTGTCGCGATCTTTCCTGGTGTCAGCGGCAGGGTCTCCTTGTGCCACCCATTGCCATGACAACATCATGGCAGCCGTTGCTGCGAAGCCCCACCCCTCCAGTCATTGGATGGCATAGACTGGGGCATGTTGTATGCATGCCTGAGCAGTTGGAACTTCATTAGCTATAGTCACGGCCTGCATGATGGGTTACAATATAAATTTTGTATTCCAGAGAATAAGATCGCAGAAATTTTGTATGCTCAAGCAGGGGAAAGTGCAAAAGAACTTAAAAGACGCAAAGACTCAAAAGACGATATGTCACGTACCTCCCCAACTCCTTCAGTGTTATAACCTTTGGCTTTGTTATGAGTGGGAATGGAACAACCGACTCAGCAATGGAAATACTACCTCGGAAAAATAATCAAATCAGCCAGTGACGAGCAAACTGGCAAAATAAGGCACGGATGTGCTAGGACGAGCTAGGGCGAGGACCTCATGACGTGATGTGGTTTGTCTCACAGTAACAAATTGACTAGAATAGGGTGTACATGGTAGTTTTGTGCTAGTGTTATACTCTCTAAAAGCATTCACATATCTAACCTATAATAGCATATGCATATATGTTTGACACACCCCCAAGGCTAGAAAAAGGGCAGTGCTTGGCAAGCGACATGCAACTCAGGGTGGCACTACTAGTCCAACCTCTCAGACAAGGGTATGAAGACCAGTCAAAAGAGTACAAACTAGACAAGAGCAAACCAGGGCGGCACTACTAGTCCGGCCATTGGAAGAAAAGCCACAAGGCCAGTCAGGAGAATATATAAAAGAGAATTACACAATCAAGGCCCTAGCAAGTGAGGAGCTACACGAACTAGACCAAGCTGTACACAGTGCCGCTGATGATCTTTAGGCGCAACTGTTAACGTGAGAATGAATGGTTAGAATGAGAGATACAAGGTGCTTTTGTGCTAAGGGTTTGTACTCTCTTAGAATACGCACCTATCTGGCCGATAAGACATATAAATATGTTTTGACAGCAAGCGCCTTAGTAAAGATATCGGCTGTATTGGCACCTGCGGCCAGGTGTACTACGCGGGCCCAGCGGCGCTGCTGTAGCTCGCGCAGGAGGAGGTACCGCAGCTGGATGTGCTTCGCTCTGCCCTTCAGTCGAGGCTCCTGACACGAGAGGATCATGGCCCTGTTGTCGGCATACAGGACCCAAGCAGAGCTAGGCCGCTCAGCTAAGTGTATCAGCAAAAAAGTCAGCCAGCGAAGCTCCTGCGCTGCCATGGCACCAGCGTAGGTCTCAGCCTCACAGCTAGACCGTGCAACAAACGACGCGCGGGTGGACCTCCATGAGATGGCACCTCCACCAAGGCAAAAGTAGTAGCCCTGGGAGGACCTGAGTGTCTCAGCATCGTCCGCCACGAAGCGTGTGTGTGCCCTGTAAGGACCACTGGCCTGCGTCCTCCTAGCACTAGGCCCATGTCCGATGAACTTGCTAGATAACGCAAAAACCCTCTTGGCGACCGACCAGTGCTGTGGGCGGTGTTTGTCTGCCGCCACAAAGCGAGACAGGATGCTGAAAGGGTATGCGAGATATGGACGAGTACAAGTCATCAGGTACATGAGGCAACCCACCAGCTGTGCTTATGGACCAATAGGCTCTACCGACTCCTCAGGGATTGGAGCCGAGAGCCTGTGATCTACTGGTAGAGGTGTGGGTTGTGCGGAGGAGAACTGAAGACCGAACCTCAGAAGGACCTGGCGCACCAAGTGTGATTGTGTAAGAGTGATGGTGCATGCTGCTCTGTCCCTAGAGATCTGCAGGCCAAGGTAGCGGCACAGCTCTCCTAGGTAAGTACACGTGTGTCTCCTCAGCAGCTCAACCTTCACGGAGGCCAGTGCGTCACCGTCTGTAGTAGCAAAGACCAGATCGTCTACGTAGACGAGGATGTAGAACAGAGTTTGGCCTAAACGAACTAAGAGTGAAGGGTCTACAGACGACATGAAGAACTGCAGGTCAGCTAACGTAGAACGATGCGTATCGTGCCACTCACAAGGTGCCTGCCGCAGGCCGTAAACCGGGCGGCGGAGAAGCCACTGGGTCCCAACGGCGAAGGTGCTGGTGAATCCTGGCTGGCGGCACAGGTAGACCTGCTCGTGCAGACTGCCCTGGAGAAATGCTGTACAGAAGTCGAGGGAGTGCAGCTCATAGTCACGAGCTCCTTGAACACCGGTGGCTCTCCAGGAGGGCGCTTCACTTTGAAGAGGCACCGGCCATCAACTACGTTCAACCCTGGTGGGGGAAATGCGTTGATCTAGGTGCCAGTGGATCTCCAAGATGCCATCTCCACGTCCATGGCAGCTATCCACTGAGAGGTCCAGGGTCCCGAGGACGCCTCGGTGCGCGCTCACCAGCTGTTGACGGTGAGAGAGAAATCGGAGAGTGGAAAGAAGTTCCCGGCGGTCTGGCCAAGGGACTGACCCTAACGAGGTCATCATGCCAAGAGGAGAGGCGTTGAGGAACTCCAGAAATGAGGAGGAGACTAGAGGGAGGCGCTAGGTGCTAAAGGAGCACTAGCAGAGGTTGTAGCCGTGGTGGCTGTGGCCGGAGCAGTGGCAGCGAGCAGGAGGCTTGTAGTAGCAGCGACTAGTGGTAGGTTGATGGCAGCAGGTTGAGTGACAGGAAGACGGCAGTGGCACTAGCTGGCAGCGGGCTGGGAGCAATAGGCGGCAAGCTGGGATCGGTGGACAGTGGCTTGTAAGCGGCTGGCGGGAGGCTAGGAGCTGCAAAGAGGAGTAGGGAGCAAACGAGGAGGAAGTACGCGCGAGAGGAGCTACTAGGAGCAGCACGCCGAGGAGCTAGCTAGGAGTCACTAGGACTGCGGCACAGGAAGAATGACAATCCACAGGGCACAGGGGACTCACGAGGCTGGTCTCCTACTGGCGACTGGCAGCTGGCGGCCGACTCGCAAATGGCGGCTGGTGGCCGACTGCCGCTGGCGGCTGGTGGTCAGCAGCTGGCCATGAGTGGTGGCTGGCGGATGACGGCTGGGGTTCGGCGGCTGGTTTCCTGCGGTCGGCTGCTGGCGGCTGGCGACTGGTGCTGGCTGCTGGTGGCCAGGCTGGTGGAGGCTTAAGCTGACGGTTGGCAACAACAGTGGCGACAGGAGCAGAGCGGCGGGAGCGGCAGCTGCAAGGGCAGTGGCGGCTGCAAGGGCAGCGGTGGCAGTGGCAGCTGCACGGGCAGCAGCGGCCAGTGGCGGCTGCAGCTGGCGGTTGCAACGGCAGCTGCAGTGGCGGCAGCGGCAGGGGCTGCAGCAGGTGCGGCAGTGGCAGCGGCGGCAGCACAAGCTGCAGTAAGTGGAAGCTGCAGCAGCGGCAGTGGCGGCAGCAGCCTGAGGCAATGGCAGCGGCGGCAGCGAAAGCGGCGGCAGTGGCAGTGGCAGTGGCAGCGGCTTGCAGTGGCGGCAGTGGCGGCTGCAAGGGCACGGCTTGCAGCAGCTGCTGCAAGGGCGGCGGCGGCAGTGACGGCAACAAGGGCAGTGACGGCAGTGGTGGTTGTAAGGGGCAGCGGCAGCAGCGGTGGGCTGCTCGGGCAATGGCGGCAGTGGCTGCTGCAGCTGGCCGCTGCAGCGGCAGAGGCGGCAGCCGGCAATGGCGGCAGCTTCTGTGGCAGCAGCTGCAGCGGCAGAGGGTGGCAGCGGCAGTGGCGGCAGCTGCAGTGGCGGCAGCAGCTGCAGCAGTGGCAGCGGCGGCAGCGTGGGCTGCTGCAGCGGCAGTGGTGGCAGCGGCAGTGGCTGCAGTGGGCAGCGGCGGCTGCGGCAGTGGCTGCAGTGGCAGCAGTGGCTGCAGTGGCAGCGGCGGCTGTGGCAGCGGCAGTGGCTGCAGATGTTGCGGCAGTGGCTACAGCGGTTGCGGCAGTGGTTTGCAGCTGCAGCGGCAGTGGCCAGCAGTAGTGGTGGCAGTGGCAGTTGCAGTAGTGGCGGCAGTGGCAGCTGCAGCAGTAGTGGTAGCAGCGGCAGTGGCACAGGCAGCAGCAGTGGTTGCAGTGGCAGCGGCTGCAGTGGCGGCGGCGAAAATTGGCAACTAGCTGGCAGCAGTGGTTGGCCAGCAGCAAGTTGGTCAGTGACGAGCTGGCAGGCGCTGCTGGCGAGTAGCTGGCAGCAGGTGCTGGCGAGTAGCTGGCAGCAGGTGCTGGCAGCGAGCTGGCGGACGTTGCTGCGGCTTGTTGGCTGGCGCTGCTGGTGGCGAGCTGGCTAGCACTGCTGGCGGCGCGCTGGCTAACACGGTTGGCTGTTAGAATTTCCGGCAGCGCTCTCGCCGCTCTCAGGTCGTTCTTATACTCCAAACGACTCCCGAACAGCACTTGCGCAAGTACTAAGGGTAGTCTTAACACCACCAGTCAAGTTCTGGTTGCAAACAGGCAGCACGACGTGAGGGGAGAATTTTCAGATTCACTATGTACAAAGAGATACAAAGAAACAAATTTATTTGAAAACATTTCCTAAGACACATGACATTGTGTAGCGCACATCCGAACCGCATTTCACACAATATAACCGAACCGCATTTCTGCTCCTCCGAACACCGCGTCACTACCAGATTCTGCTCGTCGCTCACAAGTCCTCCGCGTGTCCCAAACACCTCCTCCTTCCAACACGTAACCTTGCAGCCCCTCACCACCTAGCACACCCATATGTAGTCCTCAGCTTACGCCACTTGTTAGCGCTGCCATACTGCCACCTAGCTTACGCCATGCTGCCACGCGTTGACTAGGGGCAAGCGCGAACCACTTCCAGCACTGGCGAGCTAGGACGACCAACTCAGTAATGGAAATACTACATCTGAAAAAAATCAAATCAGCAAGTGACGAGCGAACTGGCTAAAATAGGGCACGGACGTGCGAGGACGAGCTAGGGCGAGGACCTCGGGACGTGATGTGGTTTGGATGGGTGGCGAGGGTCTCGGAACGCAACACGTGGAGGTTTGGACCGACAATATAGGCCGAACATGCGACTTCGAGGTCTTCGGGTGTATGCGGTGCAGTAAGGAACTGTAATTCCTTATAGGCTTGATGTTATGAATTATAATTCAGAGTATAGCGCAGTATTCAATAAGGGGAACGTGATTACAATGTGTCGATAGAAATTAGGCCTAGGCAATACATAGGTGTGTTGATCAGGGTTGAATGTCGAGGGTTGGACCAGTCAAGGGCCGAGAGTCCCGAGAATGACGGAGCCGAAATGGGTTCGGGGCGACTCGGGAAGAGATTTGGGACCGAATAGATTGGCGGGGGCTGGTTTGGCGCGTGATTTGAGGGCCGAGCCTGCAGACGCGAAGGGTTTGCATGTACTCGCTAAAGCGAACCCCAGTAAGGAATCGTAATTCCTTACACTCTCCCACCTTCTTAAGGAAGGCACTCCCTTTATCGAGGCCGAACAGCCATTAAAAGTAATCCCCGATGTGTCTGTAAGTCTTAAGCCCTGTGACGAGCGTAATGTTTACGCCGGTCTGACGAGGTCTTTATGTTGAACTGCGATCAAAGGTCAGAAAGCGTTGAAAAAACGCTTTAATCCTGGCCGTCAAAGATGGTCGAATTCTTCAACTGACCAACGGGCAAGGGAAAATACTCCAGCGGAAGCCTTGTGAACACTGAAAATTGTCGAGTGACTGATGATGACGAGTCGTGATGACACGTGGATGATGACTATCTTCCGTGATGATGAAACTGGCGAATGACGTGGCCGATGGTTTGTCGAGTGTCGAAGAGCCATTCATCAACTCGCGAGGTTGTCCGTGACACGTACAAGAACACCCGTCGATGTCTCGCGAAAGTCACTAATCTCCGTCAACAGGCTGGCGAACAGTGGCGAAGGTTTGTAACTAAAATTGTCAACAGGCGTCGAATTGGTCGCCCCCGGCGGTTTTTCGAGGCAGGATCCCCGCTGCTGCTGCTTAGCTGAGCGCGGTCGAGTGAGAAAAGCTCTGATTACCAAGTGTCACAGGATCGAATGTCTCGAGGAAAGATTGCACTATCGATCAGTACAAGGCGCTTTTATACTTCCAGAGTACATCAGTAACCAGGTTTATCTTATCCTAAAGGAATAGACCCTTCTAGAAGATAGAATCACCCTGCGTATAGCCACGCGAGGCTATTGGCTTTAAGAGATTACGCAGGATTACGCTAGATAGCGTGTCTAGAACATTCCATGCCTGGTCGGTGATATAATTATAATAAGGAAGAAACCAAAGGATAATGGAAAATGGGGAATATGAGGCAAAAGGAGATGAGATAAAAAGAGGAATGAAATGAAATGAAATATGGAAAAGGCCAAGTGGTGTAACGGGTCGTACTCTCACACTTCCCCCCCTCAAAGCTGGGTGGTAGAAGTAACACCCTGCTTGACAAGGTAGTCATGCAGAGGACGACGGGCGTTACCCATGTCGGTCTCAGAGACCCAGCTGTCCTCAGAAGGATCATAACCCTTCCAACGGATAAGAAGCTCCACGGTGCCATTCCGACGACGGCGGTGTGCAAGCACGGACTCGACCTCGTACTCGGGTTCATTTTGGACGAGGACGGGGTGGCGGCGGCGGTGGCGGCGTCCGACGAAGATCGTGTTAGGATCCCGATAGGGCTTCAGAAGTTGGACATGGAAGGCGTTGTGAATCTTCCAGGTAGCTGGCAGGCGTAAGCGGAAGGTAACAGGAGTGACCTGTGCTTCAACGAGAAAAGGCCCGCAGAAGCGAGGTCGAAGTTTAGATGGGAGATGGCTGATGTCCAGGTTGCGGGTGTCAAGAAGCACCTGGTCTCCCACGGAAATGGTGTGGTCGTTGCGATGGCGATCGGCCTGGCGCTTCTGTTGCTGTTGAATGTCAAGGAGGCGCTTATGGGTCCGATCCCAAAGCTGATGCATGGTTGTGATGAAGTCGTGTGCAGGTTGGACTGTGCTGGTGTTGTCGGTTTCTGTGGTGTGAGTGGGTGGCGTCCGTAGCAGAGGAAGAACGGCGTCTGTCCGTAGCGGCATGTGTAGCATTGTTGTAAGCAAACTCAGTACGGGCAGGTGCAAGTCCCATTTGGAGATGTCGTCCTTGCAGGCTGCTCGGAGGAGTTGCTCAACAATTTGGTTGAGGCGCTCGGTCTGTCCGTCTGTCTGCGGATGGTATGCGGATGACATGGCGAGTTTGGTGCCGAGCAGAGACATAAGTTCCTTCCAGAACTTGCTGGTGAACTTGGGGTCTCGGTCGGAGATGAGTGTAGTTGGGATGCCATGCTGTGAGATGATGTGACGAACGAAGAGTTGTGCTGTCTCCTCGGTGCGTGCCGTCGTGTGTGTCGGGATGAAGTGTCCCATTTTGGAGAACTTGTCAATGACGACAAGGATGGCGTCATGACCGCTGGAGGTAGGTGGTAACCCGGTGATGAAGTCCAGGCTAACCACTTGCCATGGTTGTTCTGGGACAGGAAGAGGCTGCAGTAGCCCGCCTTTTTCTGCTTGCTGCTCTTCATCCGCTGACATGTATCACACGAGGTGACGAATTTCTGGACGTCGTCTGCCATATGGGGCCAGTAGTAGTGTTTGGCGATACCGGTGAGCGTCTTGTTGCTACCGAAGTGTCCGGCGTACAGGACGTCGTGGTATTCTTCGAGTAGTAACTGGCGCAAAGGAGGGTAATTGGGTACCCAGATTTTTGTTGATCCTTTCCGGTACGCGATGTCACTGTCCCACTGTAGCAGATGTCGCTTTTCTGCCAAGGGAATTTCGGGGTCGATGGCGTACCCGTGTGAAGAGTCCCTTGAGTAGTGGATTCATCCCTTCGACCTGAATCGGCAACGTGTGCAGGCCGGCTGAGAGCGTCTGCTTTGTTCTTGTGGCCGGGCTTGTACACGATGTCGTAGTGGAAGTGTGTCTCGAGGAAGTCGATCCACCGGACCTGCCGCCTGGAAAGGTTGGGTTGTGTCTTCAAATATTTCAGGCTGCAGTGGTCGGTGTAGACGGTTGTTCTTCGTCCTTCGAGATAGCATCTCCACGCTTTGAAGGCGATGATGCAAGAGCCTCTTTGTCGTGTATCGGGTAGTTGAGTTCTGCCCCGTGCAGTTTCTTGCTGAGGTAGGCAATTGGTTGCAGTCCATTCCCCTGGTCTTGCATCAAGACTGCCCACGGCCTGATCACTGGCGTCTGCTTCGATGACGTAGTCACGTTCGGGATCTGGCAAGATGAGCACCGGTGCGGACGTTAGTGCTTGTTTCAGCTGCTCCACGGCTTCCTGGTGCTTCGTCTCCCATTTGTAGGGCGTGTTCTTCTTCAGCAGATTCGTGAGTGGTGCCGCGAGTTTCGCATACTGTGGCACGAACCTGTTGTAGTAATTAGCGAAGCCTAGGAACTGCTGCAACTCCTTCACGTTCTCGGGTGTCTTCCACGTACGTACGGCTTCGATTTTCTTGGGGTCGACGTGAACTCCTTGAGCGCTCACCATGTGTCCTAGAATTGGACCTTTCTCAGGGCGAATTCGCTCTTGGACAGTTTGACGTAGAATCGTTCTCGTCGAAGAATTTCGAAGACGCGTCGCAGGTGTTCGACGTGCTGCTTCATGTCGCGCGAGTAGATGAGTATGTCGTCCAGGTACACCACCACGCATTCGTCCAGAAGTGGTCGTAGAATGTGGTTCATTTCGGCTTGGAACGTTGCCGGCGTTGGTGAGTCCGAACGGCATACCAAATACTCGTACGATCCGTACCGAGTTCGGAAAGCAGTTTTGTGGATAGAGTTGTCCGCCATCCGTATCTGCCAGTATCCGGACCGCAGATCCAGTTTGGAAAATACCGTAGCTCCCCGAAGCTGGTCAAGCAGGTCATCGATTCGCGGTATCGGATATTTATTCTTGATGGTCTGCTTGTTAAGAGCTCGGTAGTCGATGCACATGCGCAGGCTTCCGTCCGGTTTCGGTGTGAAGAGTACTGGGGCACCGTATGGCGAAGTAGATGGTCGGATGAGTCCTTTGGCTAGGAGATACTCGATCTGTTTTTCATGTCGGTCAGCTCCGTAGGGCTGAGCCGATATGGTGCTCGGAAGGTCGGCTTCGAACCCGGTTCCTCCACGATCTCGTGTTGATGTTTTCGGTATGGCGGTAGCTCGTTCGGAAGATCGTCAGGAAGAATGTCTTGGAACTCCTTCAGTAATTCCTTGATTTTTTCTGGAGTTTCCGAGGCTCTTCCGTCGTCTCCACCTCTGTTGCTATCGCCAGGAACCCGGTGTCGGTCCGCTTCACGTCCTTCTCGAATCGTGCGAGTGTCTCCACTGGGATATCTCCTGTATCGTCCCAGTTGGGTAGCTGTACTCTCCGTCCATTGTTGTAGATGCTTGCGGTGCGGTTCACCCAGTTGATCTCGGGGTTGAATCTTTTCAGGAAGTCTCGCCCGAAGATCAAGTCAAGCCCTTTGATGTTGGTGATGGGGAGTGCAGGTCTCCAGCGCAGTGGTCCAATTTGTAGGTGTAGCACTGCTTCGCCGTGTACTGGTAACTTGCTGCCGTCCACCATCGTTGCAGAGAATCCTGAAGGCTTGTACTCTTCCCGAAGTCGGTCGATTTGCCTTGTCGCAGACGGTGTGTGACGCTCCGCTGTCCACGAGTGCTTGGAGGCGTCGTCCTTTGCAGATGACCTCGAGCACGAGGGCAGTCGTTGCTCGGAGTACCCAAAGATAGTTTCATTGATTGGGTCATAGGGTACATCCCAATATTCCGTACACACCTTTTGTTGCTATCTACTCCTGAGCTGGCAGCTGGCCGAGGCTGCTTGGAGAACGGCTCTTCTCCAGGGCCCGGAGTTTCCTTGACGACTGTGCGCGTTGATGCCGAAGAACTGGATGCATCCGTAGAAGGAGTTCGGGGTTTGTGCAGCTTCTTGTAGACCCCCAGCTTCCTCTTGAGCTGCTTCAGCTCCACCGACGTCTTCCCTGGGGAGCGGGTAGTCGTTGTGGGCTGGTGTCGGGAGAGGACGTTGACTCCGTGGAAAGGTCGGCTTCTTTCCACACTCCTTAATTTGGTCCCCAAGTTGTCCGGTACCGGTATAATCTCCACAGCTGTCTGCTTCTTTTGGAGTCCCTCCCGAAATTTCTCCAAGGCTCTAGCCCCTCGAAATCATAAGTTTTCATTAAAGCATCTTTATAGATAACTTTAACGAATTCTTATAATTTCTTGGGTCTTCAAGGAGTTTCCCTGTCTCGGCAGAGTCTTTTTTCGCGGAGTCGATTTTTCCTCGGCGATTTTCCCTGGCGAAGACTGGTCGTGGGGTGGAGATTTTCCCCCATCATTTCCTCCTTCTCGCGTCGAATCAGCTTCGTCGAAGTTGATTTTTCCGGAATCCCGCGGCCGTTTCCGGATCTTTTTATTTTCGCCAGCTAGATCCGCAATCACTGGCGACTCCCGTTTTTTGTCTTCTGATTGGCCGAAGATTTCCGCCACTGTTGCGTGCCCGATACTCTGCGCGTGCGGCCTTCATTTTGTTGCAGTCGAAGATTCGGTGGCCCGGCACCCCGCAAAAATCACACGTGTAGTTGGTGTTTTTCGGACGTGGCCGCCCCTCGAATCTGTCGACTTCCATCGGGTCGGCGAACGTGGGGTGAGCCGAGCGGTCGCCCTGTCGCGTACTGCCGACGTGCGTCCGTCGTGTTCCGGCGTTGACCATGTCGAAGCGCTCCGCGGCCGAAACGACGTCACTGTAGCTCGCGTAGTTTGACGCTGCACTTGTCGTTTGACTTCGGTCTTCAGCCCTGCGAGGTACGATTGCACTTTTTCCCCTTCGGTCAGGTCGGGAATGCGGTTATAAAATTCTTCCATCTGCTGCGTGTACTGCTACACTCCCGAACTGTCGATGCGATGAATTTTTTCGCGGGCAAGGAAACTCGAATTTATCGGTTCGAAGCTTTCAGCAGGTCGGCGCGGAACTGCTGCCACGTGGCTTCACCGTGGATGAAGTACTGTTGCCGCCAATCCACTCGAGTGCCGGCCCTCGCATCAGTGTCGCCGCGAGTCGTACGCGTTGACCGTCCCAGACTGGCGAGCTCCATCCGACGGCTGCGAAGTAGATCTCCATCCCGGCGATCCATCTGCGGGCGTCGGAGTTTCGATCGCTCGGATCGAACGGCTCAGGTGGGCGCGGTTTCGGAGCCTCGAGAAACTGCTGCGACTGCTGCGTCGTCGCCGTTGTCGTCTCGTGCTGCGCTCCGGCGAGTCGAGTTACTCGCTCGAACTGGTTTCGCCACGCTTCGCGATCCGCTCGCATTTCCTCCTGAAGGGCTGCGATGCGCGCGAAGAGCTGCTGGGTAACCTCGGCGTTGTCGAAGGTTGCCATCCTGTTCAAAACACGCACGGAGGGGGTAATTCGAAAATCGCGGAGCTGGTGCTTACCAGAATCGGCGTCGAATTGGTCGCCCCCGGCGGTTTTTCGAGGCAGGATCCCCGCTGCTGCTGCTTAGCTGAGCGCGGTCGAGTGAGAAAAGCTCTGATTACCAAGTGTCACAGGATCGAATGTGTCGAGGAAAGGTTGCACTATCGATCAGTACAAGGCGCTTTTATACTTCCAGAGTACATCAGGTAACCAGGTTTATCTTATCCTAAAGGAATAGACCCTTCTAGAAGATAGATCACCCTGCGTTATAGGCCACGCGAGGCTTATTGGCTTTAAGAGATTACGACAGGATTACGCTAGATAGCGTGTCTAGAACATTCCATGCCTGGTCGGTGATATAATTATAATAAGGGAAGAAACCAAAGGATAATGGAAAATGGGGAATATGAGGCCAAAGGAGATGAGATAAAAAGAGGAATGAAATGAAGATGAAATATAGAAAAGGCCAAGTGGTGTAACAACGGGTCGTACTCTCACAACATTGGCGCCTGATAAATGTTGAAACGATCGCAATCGATCGGGCCGTCAAAGCATTTTGGTCTGAATTAGTCTGACATTGTGTTCCGTAGGAACAGACCCTTATGCAGCACGGGCAGCTGGCGGGAATTTCCCTGAAATGAACGATTGCTATTAGGGGTAAGGTTTTTTTCATGCTCAGGCGTTGTTACTAGTACCCTTGTAATTAAGGAGTACATTGTCATGTACGAATTTCACTGCTCCACTGGGTTGCCTAATTCTCAGGGTTTGTGGGGGGATATAGGGGTGATGTTGAGAACTTAGCCAAATTTTATGGGTTGTGGGAGTGTGAGAGGGGGGAGTCTGTACAAGAGGACTAAGCGTATTTCGGTAGGTTGCTCCTGGGTGTGTGGGGGGAGTGTCCGTTAACTCTGAGACTTGTCTCCTTATGACGAAGCCTTCGTTTTTTTCGGAAGCCAATCCGAAGACTCCGTCAGAACACCTGAAAATAACGAAAGCTCTAATGAGCGTACCCTAAAACACGACAAAAACGTCGCCACACTCACAACGGAAGATCATTCCACCTTCGCATGGGGAAGGGGAGGACTAGCTAATCCCAACCGTCCATCGGACAGGATCCGACGGCATCAGAAACGCCCGCGTAATTAATCACCGTGTCGTCCGTTCGCCATCAGCATCCTTCCGCCCCCTTCCCTGATAGTGTCTGCCCCCCTACCGGAAACCTAATGGGCAGGAACATTCTGTAGCTCTGATACCAGTTGTTATGAATTATAACTCAGAGTATAGCGCAGTATTCAATAATGGGAACACGATTACAATGTGTCGGTAGAAATTAGGCCTAGGCAATATATAGATGTGTTGACCAATGTTGGATGTCGAGGGTTGGACCAGTCAAGGGCTGCGAGTCCTGAGGGTGACGGGGCTGAAATGGGTTCGGGGCGACTCGGGAAGAGGTTTGGGACCGAATAATTCGGCGGGGGCTGGTTTGGCGTGTGACTTCAGGGCCAAGCGGGAAAGTTACTGCTGCGCACTGTCCACAAAACTTTTCATACTTTCGTGGATAGGCCCTACTTTTATGGATGCCACATTGAAGTTTTGCTTCTTCCGTGGACTCTATCAATACTTTCGTAGACTCCCGCCTTACTTCCATGGACACACACGAATTTGAAACAAAAAAATATACAGTACTCTACAGATGCTGAAAGGAGGAAAAAAAAACATATAGTGTAATCAAGTCCGTCGCAAATAGTCGCAAACTACAGAAATTGCAAACCACCAAGTCTGCTAGTTGTTTCGCGTGTTTAAAGGTCTTAACGTAGGATTGAATGTCGAGATAAAAACGTACAAGGGTATAAGCCTAAGTGTTGTACCCTCGAAGATATGAACCTATACAGTCTATACAAACATAACCTATATATATGTTTGACACACCCCCTAGACTGCATAGGTGCAGTTCCTGATGAGAGAAACGGCAACTCAGGGCGGCACTACTAGTCCAACCTCTCAGTCAAGGGTCTAAAGACCAGTCAAACAAGTACAGACCAGTACAAGGGCAAGGCCAGGGCGGCACTACTAGTCCAGCCACTGGGAGAGGCCACAAGGCCAGTCAAGAATAAGCAAAAGTATATATAAAGGTCAGTACATAATCAAGGCCCTAGAAGGTGAGAGGTAACAGGAACAAGGATTAGCTATACACAGTGCTGATGATGACCTTTAGGCGCAAGGGCCTTCGTAAAGATATCAGCTGTGTTGGCACCGGAGGTCAAGTGTACTACGCGAGCCTGGCGACGCTGCTGCAGCTCACGCAGGAGGAAGTACCGCAGCTGGATGTGCTTTGCTCTGCCCTCAAGTTGAGGCTCCTGACACAGGAGGATCATGGCCCTCTTGTTAGCGTACAGGAGTGGCGCAGAGCTAGGCCGCTCACCTAAGTCAGTGAGCAGGAAGGTCAACCAGCGGAACTCCTGTGCCGCCATGGCACCGGCGTAGATCTTGGCCTCACAGCTGGACTGTGCAATAGACAAGGAGCGAGTAGCTCTCCATGAGACAGCACCTGAACCAAGGCTAAAGCAGTAGCCCTGCGAGGACCTAAGGGTCTCTGCGTCGTCTGCCCAAGAAGCGTCTTTGTGCCCAGTAAGGACCACCGGCCTTCATCCTCCCTGCACTAACCCCATGCCTGATGTACTCGCGAGATAACGCAAAACCCTCTTAGCTGCAGACCAGTGCTGAGGTCTGTGTCTGCCTGTGGCCACAAAGCAAGCCAGGATGCTGAGAGGGTATGCAAGATCTGGACGAGTGCAAGTCATCAGGTACATGAGGCAACCCACCAGCTCTGCGTTAGGAAAACTGGGCTCTGCTGACTCCTCAGGAACTGGAGCAGAGAGCCTATCATCTACTGGAAGAGGTGTGGGCTGTGCGGAGGAGAACTGAAGACCGAACCTCTGAAGGACCTGGCGCACCAAGTGTGACTGGGTGAGAGTGATGGTGTGCACTGCTCTGTCTCTGGAGATTTGCAGGCCCAAGTAGTGGCGCAACTCTCCAAGGTCAGTGCAGGTGTGTATCCTCAGAAGCTCAGCCTTTACAAAGGCAGCGCGGTGGTGCCTGCAGTGGCAAAGACCAGATCGTCTACGTAAACAAGGATGTAGAACGGAGTCTGGCCAGAACGAACAAAGAGCGAGGGGTCTGCGGAAGACGGAAAGAACTGCATGTGTGCAAGAGTAGCACGCAGCGTGTCGTGCCACTCACGGGGAGCCTGATGCAAGCCGTAGAGTGGGCACCGCAGAAGCCAGTGGGTCCCAGGAGGGAAGGTACCAGTGAAACCCTGAGGGCGGCGCAGGTTGACCTGCTCGTGTAGACTGCCCTGAAGAAATGCAGTGGAGAAGTCGAGGGAGTGTAACTCGTAGTCACGCTGTGCTGCTACGTGTAGCAGTGCCCGAAGAGTAGTCATCTTCGGGGTCGGGGCGAAAGTCTAAAAGATGTCCACCCCCTCACGCTGACTAAAGCCTCTAGCCATGTAGCGCACCTTGAACACATGCGGCTCTCCAGGAGAGCGCTTCACCTTGAAGAGCCAGCGGCCATTGACTACGTTCACCCCAGGTGGAGGAACTGCGTCGACGTAGGTGCCGGTGGATCTCCAAGATGCCATCTCCCTGCTCCATGGCAGCTATCCAGTGAGAGGCCCAAGGTCCTGAGGTCGCCTTAGCGTAAGTGCAAGGGGTCGGGATGTCGAAAGCGTCGGGGTCACCCTCAGGGACTAACAGCATGGAACAGAGATGGGGAGCAGCCTCGGACAGGAAAGCAAGCTCGTACTGGCAGTCCTCTAGGACATCAGTGCCGAGGGCAGGAGCACTCCGACAGACGGAGGACAGACAGGGTTAGAGACCAGAGCGGTGGCGTAGTCAAGGCGGTGGGTAGAGGCGAAGTCAGCGACCGCAGCGACAAGAGCGTCGAGACACGAGACCGGAACAGACGGGTCGGTAACGAGGGAGGCAAGGACTGGAGGAACAAGGGGACGAGCGGCGCGAAGGTAGTCAGATGGGGGGGAGGCACAACAACAAGAGAGGACGGAGGCGGCGACGGTATGAGGGTTAGGACAAGACGCGTGGGAACGAAGCAATATAGGGTGAGAGTGCGGGACAGAGAAGACAGGGCGAGCACGGGAGGGACGGCAAGACCAGACGTGAGACGGAAGCGTCGGGTCAGGAGACAGAGGAGGGGACACAGGAGGGGAACGAGGAGGAATACGAGCCGGAGACGAGTCCGGGGGAGGGAACACAGGGCCATAGACAGGAAGGGGAGGAGACGGCAGGGGAGGCATAGACACGCGGTCAAGGGATGGGAGGCCGAGCAGGCGAAGGGCTGACATCGGCGGTGACTGCTGCTGCGGCGGCACGACACCAACACCGGGACGACAAGCTGCTCCACGGCTACCTCCGGAACACTCCAGCACCCCCAGAAGGAATACCCCCAGGAACGAAACCCCGCGAACACCGGAACCACCCCCAGGCCCGCCGGGACATGCCACGACAGGGACCCCAGGACTAGTACCCACCCCAGCGCCAGCACCCCCAAAGTCAACGAACTGCTGCTGCGTCGGCTGCGGCGATGGCTGCGGCGGCGGCGGCGGCGGTGATGGCGGCTGCAACAGCGGCGGCGACGGCGACTGCGAAGGCGGCGGAGGAGGCGACGCTGGGGAAGGGGCAGGCGGTGAGGACTGCGCTACACGGCCACCAGAGTCAGCAGACTCGTCGACTGGGACAACCGACGGGAGGGGAGTGACGTGAGACACACCAGGCGGTGCAGGACGGGGAGGGGGAGGGGGGGGATATGGGCGACCGGGGAAGGGGTGACCAGGAACTGGGGGGGAGTAACCGGGGGACCTCTGTGGGGGAAATGGCGGTAGAAGGAGACGGACTCGTCAAAGGTGATGTCACGGGAGTGAAAGAACCGGTGAGACGGCGGGTGGTAGAAGTGCCAGTCGGACGCGTCAAGGGGGAAACCGAGGAAGACACAAGGGAGGGTGCGGGCAGTGAGCGTGTCCGTGCCAGAGGCACGAATGTGAGCAAGGCAGCCCCAGACGTGAAACGCAGAGGCGTCACGAGAAGACCCGGACCAAAGAAGGGTCGGCGAAACCTGCGGCTGCTGGGGGTGCGGCCACAGGTTGAGCTGGTGAGCGGCGTAGCGAACAGCGAACGGCCACAGAAAATGGGGTGCACCGGCATGGATCATGGAGGTACGGGCGACCTCCATGACCAAGCCGATGCGTTGCTCAGCGACCCCATTCTGCTGCGGGGAGTCCAGCAGGGTGAACGTCTGGGTGATGCCCTCTGCACGACAGAAACGACCAAGGACACCAGAGGCAAACTCGCCACCACGGCCGGAGTGGAGACGCAAGACAAAGAGACCACGGTGGACACGCGCAAAGACAAGCCACGGGATCAGAATGTCAGGCACGTCGGCCTTCCGCTCCAGGGGGAACACGGTGGTGTAGCGCGTGTAGTCGTCGACAAGCACTAGGAAGTAGCGCTGTCGACGCGGCCCATGGACGGGGGTGGGGCCCCAGACGTCCATGTGCAGGGTCTGTAGCGCTGCGGCGGTAGGGGGGAAAGAGGAGGAGATAGGGGCACGGCGGAGCTGGCCCTCGACACAGGGCGTGCATGGTGATGCTGGGGAGGAGGGCAACTCGAGGAACGACCCTGGGAGACCTAGGACAAGACCGTGCTGTGACCTGTGACGTAGGCGCTGGAGGGCGGGGTGACCTAGACGGTGGTGCCATAGGAGTGTCGGGTGAGTGAGCGACCGACAGGAGCAGGCCGCAGCAACCTGGGTAGACGCAGCCACCTGAGGAGACGTCCCTACCAGGGGGGTCGCAGTGTCCACTGTGAACAGGCCGGACACCGGGTTCCGGGGGAACGTGGTGAGGGGGGCACCAGTGGCGGCCTCGGTACAGACAGCGTACCGCTCATGACCAATGAACGTAGTGGTGACACCAAGGTCCTGGAGGCAGCCGACACCAACTAGGTTCCTGGAGAACGAGGGGATGTGCAGGCCTGTAAGAGAGCCCCAAGGAATTGCCGGATAGGGAAGGGTGGTGGAACTGCGAGCGACTACCGGGCCGGAGGAGGGGTCGGCAAGGGAAACTGCAGCAAGAGTAGCCAGAGGCGTCAGCGTAATGGAGTCACGGGAGAAACACCGAGAAGCGCCAGAGTCGAGGGTGAAGGAGAGCGCAACGGTGGCGTCTGAAGACAGAGCAGCGACAGTAGAACCTATGCTAAACAAAGCAGGGGATCCGACGCCTGACGCAGCAGGGGAGGCAAGACTAGGCAACAAGGGGTAGTAAGAAGCAGTCACACTAGAGTCATCAGCATACATCATATGCAAAGCAGCAACAATCTCGTCCAAGTCCATATCAAAGATCTGAACACTATGGCGAAGCAAGCTATGCCAGTCGGGGAGGTCGGGCAACGGGCCGAAGCGCTGACGAAACAGGTCGTCCAGGCGACGGAAACAGCGGACTGGGGTGTGACCCATCTTACCGCAAACAGAACCACGGCGAGGACCGGTCTGGAGCTGGTACTGAATTCACTCGACCCGCCACCCGGCAGCCCACCACGCGCACAACCACCACGTCTACCGCCACCACCAGCGCCAGGCCACCCGAGCGGGAGGCCACTCGCTCGCCTCTGCTGCTGCGGCTGCTGAGGCTGGTGCAAGGGCTGCTGCTGCGGCTAGTGCGTGTCCGGTTGCGACACCTGCGGCTGCTGAGGCGGCTGCTCGGCTGCACCTGTCAGGGTCCCCTCGTTAGCGCTACCATGAGGCGACCCGACTCCACCACCACCTCCACCTGCACCTCCACCCCCATCGCCGCACCCATCCTTGGGGCGGCTGCCCTTCCCGGAACGGATCTGCGCTGCAGCTGCGGACTCAGCCACAGCGACAGAACCATCGGAGAAGGTGCACTGAGCGGGGGCACAACCCTGAAAGATAGGGACCGGCACAGTACCGCTGGTCTGTGACAATCAGGGTGTCAACAAAGTCAGTGAGAGTGAGGTCACCAGGGTGGGTGCTAAGGAAGTGGTCGCGGGCAGTAGCAAGACGATCAGGGAGGCGGGTGGCAAGCAGGTAGAGGGCAGAGCAGAGAGATGGCTGAAACGCTCTAAGCTGGGTCTTAGTGCACGCAGCACGCCAGGTCGCGTCTATTGTGTGCAGGTGAGCGGCTAGGTCAGCGACAGCAGGGAAGGACGCAAGGTCAGGGAAGAGCATCAGCAGGATCAGGCGACCTACAGAGGCAGCAGGCGGGGTGGAATAGCGCTTGACGACGGCCTCTAGAAACTCCAGCGCAGTCGTGACTGACCTAAAGCGTGCGCGCTCAGACAGGGGGAGGGCATAACTGATCGCAAGCTGTGCGAATACGTCACGCGACAGCCAAACTGAGCGGGCAAGGGCAGCAGTTGCAGTGGACTCACGGTCAGCGGACGAGGGGTCAGGGCAGGGGAGCGTACCGTCAAGGTGGACCACAAGGGAGTGGCCGTCATGCCGCTGACCAGTGAGGTGACGCCGGAGGTCGACCAGCCACGTGTCAAACTCGATCGTCTGTCCCTCTGCGTCGAAGCGGAGCACGGATTCCGCCATCAGGAGCGATGCAGCAGCGGCGCAGTGCTGTACGGTGCAGTGTGGTGCTATGCGGTACTGTGCGGTGCTGTGCGATGCAGAGCGGTGCAGTGCGGTGCAGTGCTGTGCTGTGCGGTGCAGTGCGGTGCTGTGCGGTACAGAGTGGTGTAGTGCTGTGCAATGCGGTGCACAGGAGTACAGCGCGGTGTAGTGCGGTATTGTGCGGTGTTATGCGGTGTAGAGCGGTGCCTGGCGGTGCTGGTCGGGAAGGACGAGCCGGGCACGAGTCGGAGGTGGGCGGCGGCGAAACGAACGCGGGGCCGGCGCAGAGCGGGCGTGAAGAGGCCGGCTAGGAGAGGGCGCGGGGCCAACAAGGGGCGGGCACAAGGGGCCGGTACGGGGCGAGCGCGACGGGGGTGCGAGGGGCCGGCTAGGGACGGGCGCGACGCCTCTGGGGAGGGGCCGGCTAGGGACGGGCGTGACGGCTGGGACGGGTGCAATGGCGTTGGGAGCCGGCTAGGACGGCAGCGGCGGCTCAAGGGGGGCCGGCTAGGACGTGCGCGACGGCGCAGGGGGCCGACTAGGATGGGCACGACGGCTCAGGGTGGCGGCTAGGACGTGCGCGAATGGTGCAGGGGGGCCGGCTAGGAACAGGCGCGGCGACTCAAGGGGCTGGCTAGGACGGGCGCGACGGCTCAGGGGGCCGGCTAGAATGGGCGCGAACGGCTCAAGGGGCCGGCTAGGACGGGCGCGACGGCTCAGAGGGCCGGCTAGGACGGGCGCAAACGGCGCAGGGGGGGGCTGGCTAGGAACAGGCGCGAGGGCTCAGGGGGCCGGCTAGGACGGGCGCGAACGGCTTAAGGGGCCGGCTAGGACGGGCGCGACGGCTCAGGGGGCCGGCTAGGACAGGCGCGAACGGCGCAGGGGGCCGGCTAGGAACAGGTGCGACGGCTCAGGGGGCCGGCTAGGACGGGCGCGAACGACTCAGGGGTCCAGCTAGGACGGGCGCGAAAGGCTCAGGGGGCCGGCTATGACGGGCGCGAACGGCTCAGGGGGCCGGCTAGGACGGGCGCGAACGGCTCAGGGGGCCGGCTAGGACGGGCGCGAACGGCTCAGGGGGCCGGCTAGGACGGGCGCGAACGGCTCGGGGGGCCGACTAGGACGGGCGTGACATGCTAGGGGGGGCGCGACGAGGGCCTAGGGCGGAAGTGTGGGCGGCGGGACCTACCTACCAAGCGTGATACCATCTTAACGTAGGATTGAATGTCGAGAGGAAAACATAGAAGGGTATAAGCCTAAGTGTTATACCCTCTAAGATATGAGCCTATACAGTTTATACAAACATAACCGATATATATTTTTGATAAAAGGAACTCTGAAGCGATCCTCAACATTCATTTGAACGAATGTAACGATGCGGTATTAGCTGGACGACAAGTACAGCAAATTGAGTTGGCTAAATCTCGGTACAAAGAAATTTACGTTGTAGATTAAAGATATATATTATGGTTACAAGGCTAATAGAGTTCAGTAAAAATCATAGTAGTCCCAATATAACGTTTTGGAATTTCCGCCCACCATGAATCGGGAATACCATAAATTCGAGCATTTAGAAATATTCCAATTAATATTCGGTTTGCATTTTCAATATAGATGTGAAATCTCCTAATACCGATAAGGTTTGGTAAACATGGCTATATATATGGAATGTTTCAGGTCTTTATGCTATTATCAATAAATATTTTTTCCATAATATAATAATAATTAGCGAAAAATGACACCACAAATATTTTACATTCACAATTTTTTGAATATTTTTTTCAATTTTGAATGAGAAACATGTATAAATGCAAATAAAATCAAGCGATTCCGAAAAAAACTACTCTTTCTCAGGGTCTTTTTTTGTTCATATGATTCCTAATAATGAAATAATGTACCATGAAGGAGAAAACAACTGCTGATATATGCTGGCTTGATCAGGCACATGCATGTTATGTTTTGTTGAATAGTTCTGATTTGCATGATAAGTGTTTCTATCATGCGGATCCTAATACACTATGTTTTTTAATTTCACTGCATATTTGAGTGCGGCTGCAAACTCTTCCCAGAAAAGCTCCGAGATTCTGTTTCCGAACTGGTTTCCGACCTTGTAGCTCGCGATTACTTGCGACGGACAGATAGTATGGAGTATAGGTCATATGCCTTGTAGACGACTTACTTTTACGCTTAGGAGTATCTCATAGATATTTTATCATTAAGGGCCTCTCGTTGTAGACAAAGTGTACCCGTGCCATGTGAACGGTTTTCATTACAGTCAATTGGCAACATTTTTTCGAAAGCCAATCAGTGTTTTCGTGCGACGATTTTCAATGGCAGGCGATCTGACACTGGCTGTTTGTGTCAGAATCGTCAACCAATGCTCGGAGCCGAATCCACATGACTTTCTGGAAAATCCAACAACCACTAGACCAGCCATTTATGTTCCTCCACGTTTGCCTCACAAATTGTGTGAGTAATGTTTGTACAATTGGGGGCTTGTTTTATATCACTCTGAAATGAATCCGGATGCGCAAAAAAACTGGTTACCGTTCTCGTCGATGTTCGCATACCCCGTACATTTGCGATTTTCTCAAATGTAAACGCCTTTTCCTTGTTCTTGATAGAGCGCATTGAATGTTGTGTGGAATCTAAAACTTTACCATGAACCCTGAGTTGACGCGCGTGCGACATGGCGAGCGACACCTGATCGCAACAAACGCCAACACTGCCGACCATGAACAGTTCATAAAATACAAGCAAAAAACATTTTGCGACACGCCAGAGTCCCGTTTGCCCGAGCATATTCGATGTACGCGAAATCCCCCGAGTCGCCCCCCGGGCTCTCAGGGAATATGACCAGTATACTCCTTTTTATCTGCGAATATGCGTGTGTCCGTTGAAGTAAGGCGGGAGCCCACGAAAGTATTGACGGAGTCCACGGAAGCAAAACTTCGATGTGGTGTCCAGGAAGGTAGGGCTTGTCCACGAATGTACGAAAAGTTTCGTGGACAATCCGCGGCAGTAATTTTCCCGGGCCGAGCCTGCAGAAGCCAAGGATTCGCATGTACTCGCTGAAGCGAACCCCATTAAGAATCGTAATTCTTTACACTTGAAGTCGACTGTAACGCAAATGATCGAGTAAGAGCTGTGCAAACCGAATTGGACGCCTTCCACCCTCACCTTGCATGCATGGTTCTTGCTGCCTTCATCCGCAAGTCCCGTTTCAGCCTACTATCGACAGACCCCTCTGGACGACTGGAAGCTTATTAGTTAGGCACAACTCATCTCAGGAGTGCCGCGCGATCGCTGCTGTTTGGACGCCCCCAAATGCTCTGAATAATTAATCACTCTCTCCGGGTAGTCGAAAACCTACAGACATGGCTGACGAACCCGATGTGGCTATGGAATCTCTGGCGACAGCCACGTCGGACACTAGCGATCATGCCGAGATAGTCGCACAGGTCGCAGGTGACAAACAGGTCGCAGGAGTCGCACAGGTCGCAGGCGACTCCGTCGCTGGCGTCGCTCATCCCGCCGAGTTCGACAAGGAGCAATTCGTTACTGTCATCCCCCTGCAAGCCCTCGCCGTGCCGGCGCGGCTGGCGCAACGGACGTCTCGCATCGTTGACGGGTGCGTGGGGATCACAGGCGGGTGACTGGGAAGCAGTGAGGAACGCGAGGGGGTGAATGGTGAGCATGTGCGATGGGGGTGGGATTATAGGCGCATGATCCTGCGACCCAAACACTCATATCCGCATGTTTTCCCGCCTGTCCTTCCAATCCCCCCGCTCCCTTCTGTTACAGCCACACCTTCGACCGACCTCGCTTGCGTCACATCCTTCCACATCCCAGCGACGCCTCTCTGCGCCTGGTGCTACTGGATGACGTCATCAAGGACGCCACCAAGGGTGAGTGTGAGACGGTCAGGTTTTCGGGTTTCAGGTTTTGGGCTGGTAGGTATGCGGGTTTCGGGTTTCATGTGAAGGGCTAGTGTGTGGCTTCTGCAAGCGCAAGTCGAGGTTTCGGGTTTAAGCCCATCAGCAATCCAGGGATCATTGCTACAGGATGTCCCTATCCTTTTTATTTCAGTAAGTCGTCGGCCCCCCTCCCTCATCCTCTGCATTCTTTTCTATAATCTAGTCTCCTGTCACATTCTGTACCTTTATTTCGGGAACCTTCCTTTCTGTTTGGGAGAGTATTTTCGGTTGGAATGGAATGGTGTTCGGTTCAAAAGGATTTGACGTGCCCTTGGAAGGGCACATGTGTTTGGAAGTCCCAAGTCACGCGTCCTCCCTCTGCGGTGCATGTGTCTTCGCAGCGCCAGCAGCATGTTGACACATCTTAAAAGCTCCCCCCCCCATCCCCAATCGCCAGATCTCCCACCAGCCATTCGGCAGCAGCTGCAGGGGGAAGGGCTGTTCAACGTGGCCACGCACGACCAGTGCCTGGACTACTCGTACTGGCCCGCAGGCGAGTCAAGTCAATGGCTTCATTGTCTGTCTGTTTTTATCATTTTGACACCAGTGATGTGCGGCTGTGCCTTGGCTGGACGTGAAGGTCAGCTGAGTCAGAGGTGCGGCTTGAGGTTGAGGCTCCTTGGAATGGGACTGTTGAGTATTGTGACTGCTTCTATTGGCCAGCAGGTGCGTCAAGGGGGGAGGGGGGGGGGAGGTCCCGTCCTCTCTGTTGTCGAGTTGTGACTGTTCATCTGCCTCCATGGCTTGGTTGGTTGTTTCAGCAGGCAACCTTCTGCAAGAAATGCCACCACACGGTTTGTCACTCCTCCCTCAATGCGATGCCATCCCTCCCTTCTCACCCCGTTGTATCCCTTCTTACTCCATGTCATCCCTTCTCATTCACTGTCATCCCTTCTCATTCACTGTCATCCCTTCTCATTCACTGTCATCCCTTCTCATTCACTGTCATCCCTTCTCATTCACTGTCATCCCTTCTCATTCACTGTCATCCCTTCTCATTCACTGTCATCCCTTCTCATTCACTGTCATCCCTTCTCATTCACTGTCATCCCTTCTCATTCACTGTCATCCCTTCTCATTCACTGTCATCCCTTCTCATTCACTGTCATCCCTTCTCATTCACTGTCATCCCTTCTCATTCACTGTCATCCCTTCTCATTCACTGTCATCCCTTCTCATTCACTGTCATCCCTTCTCATTCACTGTCATCCCTTCTCATTCACTGTCATCCCTTCTCATTCACTGTCATCCCTTCTCATTCACTGTCATCCCTTCTCATTCACTGTCATCCCTTCTCATTCACTGTCATCCCTTCTCATTCACTGTCATCCCTTCTCATTCACTGTCATCCCTTCTCATTCACTGTCATCCCTTCTCATTCACTGTCATCCCTTCTCATTCACTGTCATCCCTTCTCATTCACTGTCATCCCTTCTCATCCACTGTCATCCCTTCTCATTCACTGTCATCCCTTCTCATTCACTGTCATCCCTTCTCATTCACTGTCATCCCTTCTCATTCACTGTCATTTCTTCTCATTCACTGTCATCCCTTCTCATTCACTGTCATCCCTTCTCATTCACTGTCATCCCTTCTCATTCACTGTCATCCCTTCTCATTCACTGTCATCCCTTCTCATTCACCGTCATCCCTTCTCATTCACTGTCATCCCACTTCCCCACAAAAGTAACGCGCCCAACCAACCCCCTTCCTCCCCATCTCCCATCTCCTCGTCATACTTAATTTGTCTCGCGACCTCCCTTCCGCAAGTCTAGAACGACTAACCCGTCGAACTCCTTATGAGTCACTGAACCCAGTGCCGCTCCTCCACATAGCTTTTGCAAATCGCGGGCATAATGTAGGCCGATCTCCCTTCCGATTTCGACATGCTGGTTTTTTTTTATACTCGAGCAGTAGACATTAGCCCGCGATTTGAAGATTTCGGGATTTTTTTCCGGCGAAAAAAATTCCCTGCCCGGACATACATACGCGTAATTACGCATACGTAAACGTAAACGTAGCATTATGCGTAACGTTACGTTTACGCGGCTGGCTGGGCGTAAGAGCCCAACTAAGGTGTCATCATTTCTCATTCAATGTCATCCCTTCTCATTCTGTATCACCCCTTCTCACTCCGTATCACCCCTTCTCACTCCGTATCACCCTTTCTCAATCTTTCTCGCCCCTTCCCTCTCCTTATTTTCGAATAACACTCCCTATTTCCCCTTTTCTCTCCATGTCACCCTTTCTCACACCTCGCTGGTGTCCCCACAGACCACATACTGCGGAAGTTGCTGCCACCAGGGGTTGAAGTGCCCACAGCGTTTGAAACTGTCGGTGAGCGAAGCTGCAGTGTGTGAAAATAGTTCCTCCTACTACCAGAGATGTGGTACTACCACGAGTTTGGTACCATAGTACCATGTGCAGCAACGTTCAAGTTGAGACAATAGCATGGCAGGTGCAGTGGCAAGTGCCCTGCCCTCTCAAGTGGTCCTTGTATTGATGGGCGTGACGTGGCCGTCTCGCATGGCAGTTGTACAATGCACAGTAGTGCGAGAGTCATCCGTGCAAGATGACCACATACTGCTATGGTCCAAACTCTACCCCCCCTGTAGTGTTTCAAGGAGGCTTTGCCACGGGGTCACCCTGGAGCCCTCATGGGATCACCCTGGCCTGGAGCCCTCATGGGGTCACCCTGGAGCCCTCATGGGGCTGTCACGTTCAACTTTCTGTCGTCGATATGGCGTTTGCGCCGTCTGTCTCCACTGCTGGGGCGCAGAAGCCCATGTGATCATGCTGTCTGCACTGCTGGGGCGCAGAAGCCCATGTGATCATGCTGTCTGCGCTGCTGGGGCGCAGAAGCCCATGTGATCATGCTGTCTGCGCTGCTGGGGCGCAGAAGCCCATGTGATCATGCTGTCTGCGCTGCTGGGGCGCAGAAGCCCATGTGATCATGCTGTCTGCGCTGCTGGGGCGAAATGGTTTTCTGGCGAGTGTGTGTGGGCGAGCTGGCTGGCTGGGGATGTGTGCTGTGTCAAGCCCGAGACCTTAATGGACAAGGTGTTTTCACAGCCGCGAGTCGTTTATGGGGTCTCCTCGCCACAGGCAAACACCCCTGCTACATTTCTGTGAAGTTCTCTCTGAGCATGCTAGGGCTGTTGCGAGTTTTCCCGCGTGGAACGTTGGGTTTGGGGTAGCAGGAAGGGCGGAGTCAGCCACGTGCGCCCCCCTCTCTTGTCAGGATGATGGGTCTGCGAGGGTGCCTTATTTCTGGCACAAATCGGACATGAAGGAGAGGGGGTGAGGTGGGTACGTTGGGGATATAGTCCATTCAGTGGGCGTTTGTCCTGATTCGTCTCACTTAAACTCAGATCTAAGTTGGCACTTTACGCCCCTACCGGTCACGTAAACGTACAGTTACGTGTACGTTTACGTTTACGTTTGTTTACGCGTAAAGTTTACGTAAAGTCGTACGGGCAGGGCAAATAAAAGAGACGAAAAAAAAAAAAAAAAAAAAAAAAAAAAAAAAAAAACGCGAAATTGGAAGCTACGCAGCCCGCATGAGGTGTGAAAGGTGGTTGCGATGCGGTGTATTCGCGGATCCTAGGTGTAGAAGAAGTCCGCAAGCGCGGAATTGTTTAGGCGCTGATACGCCAAGCGACGGATGTCTCAAACTCTTAGGCGGCGGATTAGGAGCAGAATCGTCAAGCAGGAGAGAGTAATAGCGATTTCGCTCGAGTAGTACCAAGGGACGTGGGCGCTGGATTTACGGCAGGCGGGAGGGAGGGAAATCGGGTATAATCTATGTCTACTAGGCTATGTTGAATTGCTTAGGTACTTGGTCGTGCTAGGTTTCCGATGACGGGGAGATCTGCTGGTAGTTGGGTAGCGAAACTTGCTTCCCGACGAGTTTGAGCCTCGCTGCACATGCGACGAGTTGGAATGTTCACTGGAATGAGGGCGCGTTCCTATCGCGTGTCAAGCGCGCATGTCAGGGAACCTTGGGTCAGCTCTCGCCCCTGAGATCTGACACGAGGTGCAAAGAAAGAATCGGGCAGGCTGATTTTTTTTTAGCAGACCGTAAACGTAAAGCCTTTTTGGGCCCACGTACGTAAACGTAACTTTACTGCGTAAACTACCGTAAACGTAAGGTGCCAACTTAGACTCAGATCTCATCCGTATTTTAAGGGAGGTTCTCGGGTGGAATCTTGGGGGCAATGAGCCGTGGCCTGTGGGGCCCATGGCTGGCTGGAATGGGAGTGTCTTCCAGAGAGGGCACTGTCTGCACGTGCCTAGTCGCCACAGGTGTGAAGGCCTCCGTAAACTCTTATGGGGGCCTGTTTCAGGTGATGCCGTCCACGTGGGCTAGAAGCGCTACGTATGCCGCCACTCTGTGGATCAGGTGCTCCGGGATTGAGGCAGCAAAGAGTAGGGGAGGGGGCAGGGGGGTCGTCCTGTCATACTTGTTTGCTGCTGCTGGGGAGGCTGAGGAGGGCGTTTTCATCGGCCAAGGTGAGGGATTTGGGGGTCTCACAACGGGAGCATACCCTGGGGTGATGTTTCAATTGAAGGCGTTGTTTGCTGCTGCCTCAGTCATGTTCTTGACTGCTAGTTATTTGCCCCTCTTGCGACCGAGAAACCAAACTGAATGGGAAGAATAAAGCGTTTGTTCTCCCCACAAGGACCCAATAGTGCTGCTTTAGCGGCGATTTAGAGCAATGCGCCCCCCATATCAATCGGACGGAACTACCCCTTCTGGCTGAGCGAAGACTTTGAGACGGGCGGATGAAACTGCGTGAGCATCGCTAGTGTTAGTAGCGGGCAGCACTTGCGAGAGTAGCAGGAGCAGTATTGGTGTTAGTAGAGCGGGCATCATTGGCGGTGGCAATGGCGACAGCAATGGCAAACAGCAATGGTGGTAGTAGCACGCGCAAGGCTTTCGACAATAGCATTGGCAGCACTGGCGACAGTAGTCCAAGCAGCACCGGCAGCAGTGACACGAGGAGCACTTGTCAAGGAAGAGGTAGGCGAGGAGAGATCTGATACTGTTGAATGGGTAGCAAGTGGAGTGACTTCTTCGATTGCTGTAGGTGCAGAAGCAAGTATTGCACATGCATTGTAAGCAACAAGAGCAGCAGTAAGAGGAGCATTGTTATGCATCTCGTGAGCCTTCTTCCGTACACTATTTGCCACGACAAGAAAGAAAGAGATTCGGGTGTGAGCAACCCAAACTTCTCATGGCAAATGGCATATAGAAGGAGCACCAGGTGCAAAAGATACTCCTCCCACCGCTGATCCTGTTGCTAGCAATGCAGCTACGATGCACGCTCATGCATCTGCAGCAATCGAAAATGCCAGTTTGCTTGCTGTCTTTCCACATCTATCAGTACTCTCATCGATTGCATCTCTCTACCGGCGCTCCTCGTGCCTCTGCTGCCAGTGCTGCTCGCCTTGCTGCCGCCAATGTTGCGTGCGCTACTGTCTGCTCCTCCCACCCTTGCTCCTCTCACCCTTGCTCCTCCCCCCCCCCTCCAACCCGCCTCTCTGTCGCTCGCTATATATCTATTTCTCTATACTGTCACTGTTAAGACACTTAACCTTTTTCTATTTTCCGCTGCTCTTCTCTTCCTTTTTTGCCCATCCGTTTTACCCCGCGCCTACCGCTTCAACATCGACCCCTTGTCACTCCCCATGGCCCATGTCAAGCTGCCCCACCATCTGCTCTTCCCTGTGTTGCGGCAACTCAATCCCCTTCTGTCAACCCACCACTCTCCCACTCTCCTTCCCCTCCTCCCCGCTCTCACTGCAGGCCACATCGCCCATGTCAATCTGAGGGATGAGCTGCTGCCGTACCGCTTTGTCATCGGGAGAGTCTTGCTCGATGTGAGTTTCATGGCATGGAGTGGCATGGATTTCCGGGTTGGCGTAGGACCCTGGGATTCTGGAGTACGCTGCCGGTCACATGAGAATCCAGAGTTGTTTCTCAAGCAAGGGATCGTTGCAATGAGTTGTAAGCGAGGGCGGGGCCTATATTGCCTGGAGTCTCTTGGAGCCAGTCGTTTATGTGCTCCATTGCCTTCTTGTGAGGCGCCTCAAAAATAGACTTCTTGTGGCAGCTAGAATATAAGTAAGCCTGCGATGCGGTCGTTCTTGTTCTGACACTGCCTCCCTTGGGGTCGCTCAACCTTGCCTGTCTGCTCCCTCATTGCCTTTCCTGTCCTTAACCCACTTGCCTCACTTCCAGAAAAACGCACCCCTTATAAGAACAGTTGTCAACAAGAGCGGGATCATCGAAAACGAGTTCCGGGTGCCGACTCTCGAGGTGATAGCTGGGGAAGGCTCATCCACCAACCTAGAGACCTCTGTGCGCCAGCACGGGGCCACCTTTCACTTGGACTATGCCCGAGTGTACTGGAACTCACGTCTAGAGCACGAGCACAAGCGCTTAGTGGATGCTTATTTCAAGAAGGGAGATGTGGTGGTCGATATGTTTGCTGGTGTGGGCCCGTTTGCGGTGCCGGCTGCGCGCGCGGGGTGCGCCGTGTTTGCGAATGATCTGAACCCGGACAGTGTGGAGTATTTAAAAAGGAATGTGAAGGTGAATAAGGTGGAGAGACGGGTGAGGGCTTATAACGAGGATGCACGGGTGTTTGTGAGGCGGGTTCTTAAGCCGCCGGAAGGGGGTGCAGCTGAGGAGGGTCCGGTCCAGGAGAAAGGGACTGTGGAGGGAGAGGAGGAGAAGAAAGAAGGGGAGAGGAAGGAGGAGAAAGAGCAGGAGGAAGCAGCAGGGAGGGGGTGAAGAGAGAAAGAGGCGATGGGAGCAAAGAGGAGGAGCAGAGAAAAGGAGATGGGATGGAGGTGGAGGGTCTAGGGGAGCAGAGGCTAGAAGTGGGGAGCACAAGTGTAAAACGCGGGGAGGCAGTCGTCATGGGGAAAGGGGTTGAGGGGGTGACGCGGGACGCACAAGGGCAGGCAGGGGAAGAAGCAGGAGAGAATGGCAGTGAGGCACGGGATGGTGTTGAGGGGGCTGGTGGCATTGCGGGCCAAGACAGTTGTGGGAAATCAGACGACAGAGACAGAAATGAGGGGGGAGGAGCGGCTGAGGGAATGGCAGGGGAGGAAACGGAGGAGGTTAAAGAGGGAGGGAAGAAGGGGGGGTTGGGGAAGGTAAGGAGGAGCAGAAGGGCGAGGGGAAAGGGAGGAAGGGCAAAGGGAAGAGGAAGGGAGGGAAGGGCGAGAGCAAGGATGAGACGGACTCCATGGATGCGGCATCAGTGGCACCATGGCAGCACGTGGACCACGTTGTCATGAACCTGCCCGCCTCTGCCATCACATTCCTCGGTGCGTGTGAATGCGGGCACATCCTGAGTAGAGCACCTTATGCGGCCTCACTAGATGGCAGGCAGCACGTGGACCATGGTGTGATCAACCTTCCCACCTCGGCCATCCGTTCGTAGGGTGAGTGTGTGCGTGCCAGTCTGTGCGAGACATGGGTTCAAGAGGCTTTGATGGGTGGCAACAGGTGCATCATGTCGACATGATCCTTCTCGCCTCCGCCATCACATTTTGTCGGTGCGTGGATCCATGTTAAAGGGTTTCTTTGTAGACAATCTCTGAGACAGGAGTTTCTCCCCTCCGCCAGAAGACGCACCCTCCTACTCTCACCCGTCATCCTCTCTCAACCTTCCTCGCCTCGCACCACACCCTCCATTCTCTCAATCGCCCCTCCCCCCGACCTCCTCCCCCATCCGCACTCCTCCTGCGGTGCCTTTTCTCCCACCCGCTGGGTGGGCCTCTTGCTCTCTCTCATCCGTACCTCCCACCCACTGCATAACACGCATTGCAAACACCACTTCTCCCCATCCCCAACCCACCCAATCCCCTACCTCCTCCCCCATCCAGACTCCTTCCGCGGTGCCTTTTCCCGCGCCCACTGGGTGGGCCCCCTGCCCCTCGTCCACACCTACTGCTTCCAGCGCTCAGGCCAGTCGGCAGAGGCAGTGATCAAGGTAGGAGACAGTCGGAGGCTTATGCCGTGAGACAGGTGGGATGTTGGTGGAGGCAGGCATGGCGGTAGCCTGGTAGGGGATTTCCCTGCAGTCGAGGCTTTCGGCAGAGTGTGAGTAAGTGGGACCCCTTGCCCCTCATCCGCACCCACTGCTTCCAGCGCTCAGGGCAGTCTGCAGTGGCAGTGAACGAGGTAGAGCGCTGGTAGAGGCAGAGAAGAGGGATGTGAATGTGGGCATGTGGGCAGATGATGGGAATGTGAGCTAGGCGTGTGCCTTGCAGTGGTAACTTGTGAGTCGGTGCGAGCACGATCGCCGCTGGTGGAGACTTGAGGGTTTGCCATGCCTGTCGTCAGCATGTGTGTGGGCTCACATGTACATCTGGTGCTGCACACAGTGATGATGATGCAACGACACCCACACTATCCGTTGAGTGTTGGTTGCTGCATCCGTGGGCAACCATGCACCTTCTCAACCATTCTGGCCCCTGTGGTTTGTTTGCCATGAAGGATGTTCCGCGCACGTCCCTTGCCTTCACTGCCTCGAATGCTCTTGGTGTGGATCTCATCGCATCCCTCTCCTTGCCCCCCTGCGTCCATGAGCTCACCTGGTTTCATTACTCCTCATTCCGATGCTTATTCCCCGCACAAACCTTCTCTCCCGTGCGTCGCCTGCCAGGAGGTGGAGCAGCACCTTGGAGCGGCGGTCGATGCTGCCGCCATGTCTATCTATCAAGTCAGGAACGTGGCACCCAATAAGGTGAGGACACATGGCAGGAATAAGTGGCAGCCAATGAGGTGAGGTGAGGCGAGGAACGTGCCAAGCAGCACTTCAGGCACCTAAACCGCGTTCTCTTTTGTGAAAGAGGTCCTTTTTGGGCCAACAGAGAGGTGGCCGTCTGTTGGTCAGACTTCTTCGTGTAAATCAGGTCCGTGTCTCCTTGGTGCTTCCACCACCAGCTGTGCTGTGCTGTGATGTCTCTTACCGTCTGTGTTGGGGGTTGTCACTATTAGGATGTGCGATTTTCCTTGGCTGTTTCGTTAGTGTTTTCGGGTGACGAGCCTGGCTGCCCGTGAATGTGTTATCTTCTCTTCCCTCCCTGCAGGACATGTTGTGTGTGTCGTTCCGACTGCCAGAATCAGCCGCTTTTGCTGCAGACTCGTAGGTGCGGGGGGTGTCAAGATGAGTACCGGTAAGGGTATCGCATGCGGTTTTTGTAAACAAACACCAGTTGAATACAAGGCTATGTGTATGTGTCTGAATAACGGTACTACCATATTCCCTGGCAGATTCTTGGCCCAACAACACCAAGGATTCTTATTCTGACTCTAGTAGTCATCACAACAAGCTTCCTGCGTATTTCGTTGGTATGCATCATTACTTACTATGCTGTGTTGCCTTGCCTATTGTTGGAAACAAAGAATTGGAGAAGTAACCAGTTTCTGTAGTATCGAGACTAAAGCGATACTGTGGAGTGGTCAACAACGAGTACGGCGAGTCAACGGAGGTTACATGCGGCAGTTGTGCTTGTAATTAAAGCGCGTGGCAGTTGAAATAACTTGTCCTATGTTGTAGAAGACTAAGTATAAAACTGCAAATACGAACACTTGGAAATCCTCAAGTGTTGGCCCAGGTATCAGAATTGTAAATTGTATGATAGAGTGAGAGTACACACAACTATACCTAAGTGTTGTACCCTCTAAGAGGTGACCCTATACAGTCTATACAAACATGACAACTACACATGTTTGACACACCCCCTAGACTGCATAGGAGAATGTCCTAAACAAGCAGCTCAGGGCGGCACTACTAGTCCAACCTCTGAGACAAGGGTCTGAGAGACCAGTCAGAAGGAGTACAGACAAGGCAAGAACAAGAGCAGGGCAACACTACTAGTCCAGCCACTGGGAGAGGACACAAGTCCAGTCTGAGTATACATATAAAGGACAGTACAAAGTCAAGGTCCTAGCAAGTGAGAGGCTACAGGAACTAGACCAAGCTGTACACAGTGCCGCTGATGATCTTTAGGCGCAAGCGCCTTCGTAAAGATATCAGCCGTCTTGGCACCTGAGGCCAAGTGTACTACGCGAGCCTGACGTCGCTGCTGTAGCTCACGCAGGAGGAAGTACCGTAGCTGAATGTGCTTCGCTCTGCCCTCGAGTCGAGGCTCCTCACACAGGAGGATCATGGCCCTGTTGTCAGCGAACAGGACCGGGGCAGAGCTAGGCCGCTCACCTAAGTCAGTGAGCAAGAAGGTCAGCCAGCGGAGCTCCTGTGCCGCCATGGCACCAGCGTAGATCTCAGCCTCACAGCTGGACTGCGCCACAGACGAGGAGCAAGTAGCTCTCCACGAGACGGCACCTGAGCCAAGGCTGAAGCAGTAGCCCTGGGTAGACCGGAGTGTCTCAGCGTCGTCTGCCCACGAAGCGTCTGTGTGTCCAGTAAGGACCACTGGCCTGCGTCCTCCTAGCACTAACCCCATGCCCGATGTACTAGCAAGATAACGCAGAACCCTCTTAGCGGCAGACCAGTGCTGCGGTCGGTGTCTGCCTGTGGCCACAAAACGAGCCAGGATGCTGAGAGGGTATGCGAGATCTGGGCGAGTGCAAGTCATCAGGTACATGAGGCAACCCACCAGCTCTGCGTAGGGGCCACTGGGCTCTACCAACTCCTCAGACACTGGAGCGGAGAGCCTGTGGTCTACAGGCAGAGGGGTGGGCTGTGCAGAGGAGAACTGAAGGCTGAACCTCTGAAGGACCTGGCGCACCAAGTGTGACTAAGTCAGGGTGATGGTGCGCGCAGCTCTGTCCCTGGAGATCTGCAAGCCAAGGTAACGGCGCAGTTCTCCAAGGTCAGTGCAGGTGTGTCTCTTCAGCAGCTCTGCCTTCACGGAGGCCAGTGCGTCCCTGTCAGCTGTGGCAAAGACTAGGTCGTCGACGTAAACAAGGATGTAGAACGGAGTCTGGCCAGCACGAACGAAGAGGGAAGGGTCTGCAGAAGACGGAAAGAACTGCAGGTCAGCAAGCGTAGCACGAAGAGTGTCGTGCCACTCACGGGGAGCCTGGCGCAGGCCGTAGACGGGGCGCCGCAGGAGCCACTGGGTCCCAGGAGGGAAGGTGCCAGTAAAGCCCGGAGGGCGACGTAGGTAGACCTGCTCGTGTAGGCTGCCCTGAAGGAAGGCAGTGGAGAAGTCGAGGGAGTGAAGCTCGTAGTCACGCTGAGCAGCTAGGTGTAACAGAACCCGAAGAGTAGTCATCTTCGGGGTCGGAGCGAAGGTCTGGAAGAATTCCACCCCCTCGCGCTGACTGAAGCCTCTAGCCACGTAGCGCGCCTTGAATACAGGCGGCTCTCCAGGAGGGCGCTTCACCTTGAAGAGCCACCGGCCATCGACTACGTTCACCCCAGGCGGGGGAACTGCGTCGACGAAGGTGCCGGTGGATCTCCAAGATGCCATCTCCTGCTCCATGGCAGCTATCCACTGCGAGGCCCAGGGTCCCGAGGTCGCCTCAGCAATGCGAGGGGTCGGGATGTCGAAAGCGTCTGGGTCACCCTCAGGGACTAGCAGCATGGAACAGAGATGGGGAGCAGCCTCGGAGAGGAAAGCAAGCTCGAACTGGCGGTCCTCCAGGACGTCAATGCCAAGGGCAGGAGCACCCCCGACAGACGGAGGACAGGCAGTGTCAGAGACCAGAGCGGAGGCGTAGTCAAGGCGGCGGGTAGAGGCGAAGTCAGCGACAGCAGCGACAAGGGCGTCAAGGCACGAGGGTGGAACGGACGGGTCGGTAACGAGAGAGGCAAGGACCCGAGGAACAAGGGGACGAGCGGCACGAAGGTAGTCAGACAGCGGGGGGGGTGCAACAACAAGGGAGGACGGAGGAGGCGACGGCAGAAGGGGAGGACGAGACGCGTGGGAACGAAGCAACATAGGGTGGGAGCGCAAGACAGGCGAGGCAGGACGAGCACGGGAGGGACGGTGAGACCAGACGTGCGACGGAGGAGTCGGGTCAGGAGACAGGGGAGGGGACACAGGAGGGGAACGAGGGGGGAGACGGGCCGGGGACGAGTCCGGCGGAGGGAAAACAGGGCCGTGGATAGGAAGAGGAGGAGACGGCAGGAGAGGAACAGACGCAGGGTCGGGGGACGGAAGGCCGAGCAGGCGAAGGGCTGACACCGGCGGGGACTGCTGCTGCGGCGGCACAACGGCGACACCTGGACTGCAAGCTGCTCCTCGGCTACCACCGGCACTCTCCACACCAGCACCCCCAGAGGGCCACCCCCAGGCGACCGGGACGAGCACCCCCAGAGTCAGCGAACGGGGGCTGCGACGGCGGCGGCAGCGGCGGCGGCGGCGACACGACGGCTGCAGCGGCGGCAGAGGCGGTGGAGGAGGGGACTGGGGAGGGGACGCCGGGGAGGGGCAGCCGGCGAGGACTGCACAGGAGGGCCACCAGAGTCAGAAGACTCCTCAACCGGGTCCTCCGACGGAAGGGGGGTAACGTGGGACACACCAGAGGGGGCGGGACGGGGAGGAGGAGGAGGAGGGGCAGGGACTACCGGGGAAGGAGGGACCAGGAACAGGGGGGGAGTAACCGGGGGACCACGGTGGGGGAAGCGACGGTAGTAGGAGGACGGACTCGTCAAAGGTGACGTCACGAGAGTGAAAGATGCGGTGAGACGGCGGGTGGTAAAGTGCCAGTCGGACGCGTCAAGGGGAAAACCGAGGAAGACGCAAGGAAGGGTGCGGGCAGTGAGCTTGTCTGTGCCGGAGGCACGGACGTGAGCAAGGCAGCCCCAGACGTGGAACGCAGACGCGTCACCAGGAGACCCAGTCCAAAGACGGGTCGGCGAAACCTGCGGCTGCTGAGGGTGCGGCCACAGGTTAAGCTGGTGAGAAGCGTAGCGCACAGCGAACGGCCACAGAAAATGGGGTGCACCGGCATGGATCATGGAGGTGCGAGCCACCTCCATGACCAAACCGATGCGTCGCTCAGCGACCCCATTCTGCTGTGGGGAGTCCGGTAGGGTGAACGTCTGGGTGATGCCCTCCGCACGACAAAAGCGACCAAGGACACCTGAGGCAAACTCGCCACCACGGTCTGAGTGAAGACGCAAGACAGGAAGACCGCGGTGGACACGCGCAGAGACAAGCCAGGGGATGAGAGCGCCAGGCACGTCGGCCTTGCGCTCCAGGGGAAAGACGGTGGTGTAACGAGTGAAGTCGTCGACAAGCACAAGGAAGTAGTGCTCTCGACGCGGCCCAGGGACGGGGGCGGGGCCCCAGACGTCCAGGTGCAGGGTCTGCAGTGGCGCTGGGGTAGGGGGAAACGAGGAGGAGTGAGGGGCACGGCGAAGCCGACCCTCGACACAAGGCGTGCAAGGGGGGGCGGGGGAGGAGGGAAACGCGGGGAGAGAACCTGGGAGACCAAGGACAAGACCATGCTGGGACATGTGACGCAGATGCGGGAGCGCAGGGTGACCTAGGCGGTGGTGCCAAAGGAGAGTCGGGTGAGTGAGGGACCGACAGGAGCAGGCAGCAGCAACCAGGGTAGACGCAGCCACCTGAGGGGGCGGCTCCAGCCGGGGGGGTCACGGTGTCCAGAGTGAACAGGCCGGACACCGGGTCCCGGGGGAACGTGGACAGGGGGGCACCAGTGGCGGCCTCGGTACAGACAGCATACCGCTCGTGACCAGGGAACGTAGTGGTGACGCCAAGGTCCTGGAGGCAGCCGACACCAACTAGGTTCCTGGAGAACGAGGGGATATGCAGACCTGTAAGAGAGCCCGAAGGAACCGCCGGACAGGGAAGGGTGGTGGAACTGCGGGGCGACTACCAGACCGCCAGAGGGGTCAGCGAGAGAAACGGCAGCAGGGACAGGAAGCGGCGTCAGGGTGGTGGAGTCGCGGAAGAAACACCGAGAAGCGCCAGAGTCCAAGGTGAAGGAAAGCGAAGCAGAGGCGTCTGGCGACGGAACGACGACGGAAGCACCAAGACTACACAAAACAGAGGATCCTACGCCTGACGCAGCAGGGGAGGGTACACTAGGCACACCTACACTATGCAACAGTGAGTAATAAGCGGGAAGCACACTAGAGTCATCAGCATACATCACATGCAGAGCAGAAACAAAGGCATCCATGTCCATATCAAAGATCTGAATCTTACGACTAAGCAAACTGTGCCAGTCCGGGGGGTCTGGCGACGGGCCGAAGCGCTGACGAGAGAGGTCGTCCAGGCGACGAAAACAGCGGGGAGTGGAGTGACCGATCTTACCGCAAACGAAGCCACGGCGAGGACCGGTCTGGATCTGGTACTGACAACGCCCGCCACCAGAGCCACCACTCGGCACACCACCACGCGCCCGGCCACCGCCAGCGCCGGGCCACCCGGGCGGGAGGACACTCGTCTGCCGCGGCTGCGACTGCTGCTGCGGCTGCTGCGAAGGCTGCGACTGCGTGTAGAGGTAATGGGCGGCTGGTGGGCTCTAAGCTGTGCGTCAGTGCAGGCGGCGCGCCAGGTCTCATCTATCGAGCGCAGGTGGGTTGCGAGGTCAGAGACAGTGGGGAAAGATGCAAGGTCAGGAAAGAGCATCGGGAGGATCAGGCG